CTTATTTTACATTTTTTTCATTCTTAGGAATGTCTAAATTCAGTTAAACTAGCAATTCCGTATTATATTTATAAATCTTTATAACATTATACAAAAATTAGATTTTTCATAAAAATTGAAATTTTGCCGGGAATGGGGCTTTAACAAAATAGGAATGCCACTCTGCTAAGCTCCTATGACCCCCATACCATCTTAACCAAACTATGCATCATGAGCAGGGACGTTACTCCAGTAAATCCCAATGATCCACACACCCCATCTTAATCGAACAATGAAATTTTGGTACGAACGTTACTCCGCTAAGGTCCTTATGACACGCATACCACCCTTGTAACTACAATATCTACATTAATAAGAAAGACGTTCAGCATGCGACTGAGAGAAATGCAAATTTCTTTGAGTTGTGAAGAACCTTTTAAACGTATACTATTTAAGAGGCCTACAGTGCTCGAACAGGAACATGATGTACTAATCGTATCAAGCATAGCCCTTCAACGAATTCAAACCTGCAACCTCTTTCTATTAATACGAGTATCATACCATTATAATATACGATCGCGCAAATTAACTTAATATTAATGTTACATAATAACAAGTAGATAAATGCTAATAACAGAGCTTAGGAACATATAATGTCATAATCGTACAACAAAATCCTCTAATACTAATATATTGAATATACACTTTTGTATCAGTGACACTCGTAGTTATTGTGGTGCATTCAAAAGAGAGAAGGTAGAATACAAGTTGGTTCGACGTATGTTTTGAAAATATAAAACTAAGTGCTATTACGGTATACAAAGGAGAAACGTATAGGTTGACATTATAGACGTATTTTTTTAATTTTTTGGCTGCGAGCACCGATGGTACGAGGATTGACAGTTATAATGTGGTAGCCCATCCAACTTAACTTTAGGCCTATGTATCTTTTTATTTCAACCAACGTTTTTTTTTAATAGCTCCACACAATAACGGGTTGATTGAAATAAATAAAATCGATGTCAAGGTGGCATGGTAATTCAGACAAAGAAAATATTGTAATATAATGCTTCGAATTTGCTGGCATAAAACGTAGGCCTATGTGGAATTCTTCACACAACCTCTCCCCCCCCCATATATCATTCATATATATATATACATATATATATATACAATAACTAATAATAATACTACAATAACTAATATAAATATTTTACTTCAGAAATAGGATTAGTAGTTACAAAATAACATCTCATAGAAAAAATCCTATCCAATTTATTCCAGTGTTGTAATATAAGTCGTAGGTCGTAGTAACCATTAGTTTTCCTTGAAATGAATCCTTTGTACATTATATCGTGGAGGTATTATTACTATACCTCCATGATCATATCTTCTTTGAACTCATGCATTGTATTTGCTGTGTATTGTATGTATTCTGTATTTCATTATGTTTCTATTACTGTAGGCATACGTAATAATAAACCAATCAATTTTATATCCTAAAATGTATTTCATATACCGGTAATTATGTACATACATGTATGTATATATATGCACCTGATCTGTTTGTCTCTCAATACATCATGTAAAATAGCCGAACCAAATTTGTTTTGAATACTACATGGCGATTAGAATATGACTTTTAATACTGATAATTCCTATATCACATATTCGTCGTATACGTTATTCTACATTTGTAGAACCTCTTAGAACGCCATTATATTATTTAAATAAATATCATCTCTGGAAATCATGCTTTTCTAAAAAAAGCAAATAGAATATAATGAGTGTTTCTATGTAAATTAAGCCTTAACTGTCAAATAGTCATTGGTATTTTTTTTTTTTATTAAGCAGCTTTTAATGAGACGAAATCCGGCACTCACTGCCCTCGACGGCCGTCGGCCAACGCGGTTCCATGGAGAACACAACGCCACGACGCGCGAACCGGATGGTTTTTAAATGAAAATCCGTTCAGTAAAATCGGTAGACAGCATGGAGTTAAATTCGTTGTACGACAGTCGTAGGCCTACCGCCGGTGCTCGACTTAAGAAACACCAAACAGTCCGATTGATTTGTAAAACTTCTAAGACAGGTCTTTCTACCTACCTACCTGGATCTACCTGGATATAGAGACGTGAAGCTATCATAGCTTATGTGTCCCTCTTGTCATTTCTTTGGGTGCATACGGGTTGAACTTTAAGCGGGTGGTTTGACCAGTGTTTTTGTAGACGGTTTTTGAATTGTATTTTTTTGTATTTTCTATGACGTCATCAAAATGCATTTTTCTGATTGGACGGGGCCAAAAGTTTTTTAGGCATAGGCCAACATTAATAAAATTCTATTGTTAATCTTACAGTGAATAAAAATTTTTTTTTTTAATAAATCGAAATCGAAATCAGGGGTGATGCCAGCGGAGGGGAAGGGGCAGGGTCCCCGCCGAGGAGAGCTCCCCCCCCCCCGGCGTTTGGGGAGATAAACTACCAGTATCGGTACAATTCGTCGGAGAGAAATAAAATGTGTATGTATTTTCTACACATTAGGACGCCCCTTGCAATGCTGAATAAGTTCAGTGCGTACATTTTATGTCAACATCTCTTGTACTTTACCCTTGTGCGAACTCTCTGGAAAGATTCTCCCATACTTCGATAGGACGTCCCGGTTTTGGTTGTTTTTAAGTCTAGAGGGTTTTCTGCTGGTGTGGAAAGAATATCTCTGTTCTGTGTCAAAACATTAATAACTTCATCAGAAAATGGAATCCTGTTGTCAAGCCACGAGGTATTTTTAGAAATCCAGCAAACACGTGTTTACGTTCTTATAACGTTCTTGGCGAATGTTGGGGTTAGGTACCGTATGTCACAAAATAACGTTTACACAACGTTGTATGAACGTGCAAACGTTGTGAAATTATGTTCATTACGTATTTATGGTTCTACAAAATAAAGTTTTTAACACACTACTGTAATGTTATTGTCACGTTATCATAACGTATTATTGTTTGGTGGGAAGGTCGTTACTACTCGCGTAGTAGCTCACCTTCGTAAGTGGAAACAGGAAGCTTTTCAAAGTCTTGGATGTCTTTGAATAATTTTTTTTTAAATTAACGCCTAGATATAGGCCTTCTTGTAGACATCATCTTAATTACTGTATGATATAGTAATACCATATGATATCTGGATTATTAGACTGCTCGAAATTTACTAAAGTATTCTAAACAGCAACAAAATATTAGAAGTTTTGCTCACTGTATCACGAGCAGTTTGTCAATTTTTGGAGCGCTTTTCCCACGCTTTGCATGAACTGGTTGAGTAGACGCGCGTAAATCCCTACTGATTGTGGCTTGCTCTAATTAAATTGTGTCTCAAATGTACGAAAACAAGACTGATAAAAGTGCGTCTAGCTCGCAAAGTTGCAAAAAGTAGCAGCTAAATTTGGTACCATCATATAGCTAAGGCTATACTGAAGATGGTGATATAAAAATTAAAGCATGAATCCACATGAATCTAAACTTTCTCTTCTACTTTTCTAAAAATAGATTTTTAAATATTTTTTCTGTCGTTTAAACATCGATTTATTATTGATGCAAACTTTAAATTTAAACCAAAACATATATTTTTGTTCCCCAATTTATATACAAGAAACGTGTAAATTTTGAAGTAATTACGAATTTTCTGTAAGAAAAAAATCGTGTTTTGATATAATGTAGTCAATTATAGCATTTGAAATATTTATAGAGAAATTTTCGACATTTGTTGAAAAATACCACCCTCAAAATTCGTTTAAATGTAAAATATTTTCAGGATAGATTCACCAGGGTATATCCTTCTTCAATCATGTGAAAAAAGGTGTAAAATCCATAGTCACCAAAATGGACTTTTGGCACACTTTGATTTCGCCCTGGCCCACTGTGCGGCGGCCCGACTGCGCCTAGCTAGCCTAGGCTTATCTTTCGCCAGCTCGAATACAGCAAGCGAGCTAGGAGTTGAATTCGTTTTACTCTCCGAAGGCTAAGGACCATGGAATAATTATAATCTTGTTAATTCGGTACTAGGCCTAGTTTAGTAGGGCCTAGTTGGTATGTAATTCGGACAACCTACAACTAGCCTACTACTAGACCTCTAGGCCAGTCATTATTCTTCCGAGTTTTCCCGAGATTTCTCATGGTTTGAAAGTGCATGTGTGAAACGAACCAACAATCTCGGAATATCAAACTTGTTACAACTTGTTAATAATTGTTAAAAGTTGTAATATTTTCTGCTAGTGTGAAATGGGTATTAGTCTTTCACTATACTGAAGATGACGAATTTGAGGAATGAGCCTTAATTGTGGCCCTTTGCTGAACTTTTTCCAGAGCATCTTCATCTTTCTTGAACAAGGGACTCTAAATTATGTTGCAATACTCTAAGGATGGCCTGACGATACTATTTTTTTTAAATTGAAGCAAACTATTCTGGTCCAAGGATGTGAATGTTCTATTAATTATACCCAGTTTTAAATTAGCTTTTTTGAAATATCTGCAATGTGATCTGAAAATGTTAGCGACTTATCAAATAACACACCCAAGTCATTTTCTGCATTTACTGCCTTGAGTTCCATTTTATTTGTGGTGTTTCCCATGGTATACTTAAAAAAACTTATTACGTTTTCCATAATGAATAATACATTTCTCTTTGTTAAAGGGCATTTGCCATTTCACTGACCATTTCCAAACTTCATCTAAAAACACGTTATATTTTCATTGCGGATTTTTTGGGCTCGGTACGGACTCTAAATGTATGCATTTTCTTTAAGTTATAAGGCGTATGCGGATTTTATAAGTCCGCAATGACGATATAACGTATTTAAATCAATCTGTAGAGGATTTGCTTCGTGAGCATTATGTACGATTGAGAAAATCGTAGTATTATCAGCAAAGAGTTTAGTGCTACACCTCAATAAATACGGCAAGTCGTTTATAAAAATAATGAAAAGGATCGGATCTAAAACACTGCCTTGTGGTATTCCACTAGTTACAGGTTTACTCGTTGAGTGAACTCCATTTATACAAACTCTTTGAGAACGACTAATGAGATTCAAACACCTTATCCATTCCAGTAAATTTCCATCAATTCCATAAGCTTTTAATTTTTCCAGAAGTCTAAGATGAGGGACACTGTCAAATGCTTTTCGATAATCTAAATACACACAATCTATGCTGTTTCCCTCATCCAACGCTTTAGACCATGTTTCCATAACTTCCAGCAACTGAGTTTGACAAGATCGCCCTTTACGAAAATCATGCTGGTCATCATTCTTTAGATTATTATTCTAAAGGATCTGGCCCTGGCGACTTATCGATGTTTAAATTTGATAATTCTTTTTCCACTTCATGTAGATCACAAACAACGCTGTTTAGAGTCTGTGCAACAGCCCAAGGGGTCAAAGCTGGTATAGAAAACATGTCCTCATTAGTAAAAACGCTAGCAAAATACTCATTTAAGACTTCAGCCTTTTTTCTATCAGTAGTGACTATTTCTCCATTTGCATCTTGCAGGTCTGGTATACCGCTTTTGGATTTTGCCTTTCTTACAGTTTTGGTTGTTAAGTTACGTACAGCTACAAATTTCTTCCACTGAATTTTGTCTCGATGTTTCTGGTACTGATTCCATGATTTATGTTTATTTTTAATTACTGTAGACACATCCTTATTTAGCCATTGAGATTTCACTTTGGTCTGCATTTTTCGAAGTGGAATAAATTCATTTACACATTCAGATAAAATTTCTTCAACCATTTACCATGCTAATTTGCCTGGTAAGTTATCTATATTTTCCAACAATTTCTTTTTTCTTAGCTTATTGTTGAATGCTTCATAATTTCCTTTATAATATCTTCTGGTATATATCTCTTTATCTTTATCTGATTCCATATCAATAATTAGGTCAAAATTCACAACTTGGTCGATCTTGCTATCGTGTATTTGGAAACGTGGATTCTGATTGGCGAATATGATACTTGCTGTTGAGTGTATATAAAATTGCAGCCCGATCGTGTGTTTTGAAACGTGAATTATCATTGGCTGCTATTCTTTTAAATGTAAAGGAAATTGAAACAAAAGATATGTAATTAATATACCTTGTAAAGCATATTCAGACTGACAATATACACAAACAAAAATCTTTTCAAGATTTATTGCGAAACTAAACAATGATTTACAGCAAAATGTCGTGTTCTCACAATTGGCAATGAATGTACATCAAGTTTAACACAGTTAGGCATATCAAATTTGGAAATCAATTCGGTAAAAGTTTTATGTCTAAATGGGTAATTGTTCGATATAGTATGATGACTGCAGACTGTTATATTATTGAAGCACTATGGTAACCATTCAGAAAAACACTAAACTTAATATTTATATAATCTTAAGGGACGTATTTTTCAATAAACAACGACATGAGGTTTTAATACTGAATTACATTCAATTTATGTACTATTTAATATTCATCAATATTTCAAGACTATGGGTCCAAACTCATACGCTTAATGTCCTCATACAATACGATACAACACATGATAGGTTTCTGCACACCCACCTAGGCTATATTAAAACAGTTGGTTAATAAGGCGTCTGCATACACAACAGAATGGACCGGGTCTGAGTCCCGGTTTGGACACCTGATTTTTCACACTCACAGATTCCTCGTCTTTATTGCTCAAAATGTATTTATATATATTTATAGCATTACCACAGGACGGTTTAGAGTTTATCTAAATTATATCATGATTTACATAACCCAGAGTCGCAAAAGCAGGAAACCTACTGTCGCCAAAAGGCATATATACATACATACATATATGTATGTATATATATATATATATATTTATATATGTATAATTATATATAGGGCCTATATATATGTATAATATATGTAGGCCTACTCATACCTACAAAATTGAAACATTGTAGTTACTATCATTAAGCAAATAAACACACGAGATGCACTACATAGACTAAGTTTCTTTATGACGCTTTAGGAAGTTGTTTTGGTCATGAGGAAACAAATCCTGTTACTGTCGCAGGTTCGATCTGAACGGAGGACCGTGGAATTGGAAGGATAGCATCTTAACAACAGCTACTTAACTACTTACAGCTCAATCTCACTGGGCTATTATCGTCCTGTTTTACATTTGTATTTTACAGTTATATATTTTCTGTAGTTTAAGCTATGTTTTTGTTTTATTTTCATGTGTGTTTACGTTTGTGAACGTTTAGAGCAATTGTGTTCCATTGCAATTTCCGAAAGGACAAATAAATTTGATTCTGACTCTGAATACTGTTTATAGGCCTAATACTTACATCATATAACCCTATAATATTTCGTGATGTTAGGCTTAATATTGCCTTTAAAACATAAAAACGAAACAGTTTACTTTTCTAATCGATGACAAAGCAATTCTGAAATGTTTAATAAGATACAAATTTTTCAGTGGCAGATCCGGGAATTAAAAATAGAGGGGGACCGGGGATGTACTTTCAGAGATTGAGGATCTATACCACCTCAGCCCGACCATGGTAGGGACTGAGGTAAGGAAATTTGTGATTATGGCACCACCAAATGGCCGGAAATTTAACTCTCAGACTTGCGGTAAAATTTCAATATAATTTTCTTTATATCTACATTTTTAAATATTTTGAACAATTAAAGGGGAGGAGGGGAGAGAACTGCTGCCCCCGCCCCCTTGAATCCGCCACTGATTTTTTAACCACTTATTTTTTAACCGTCACTGATTTTTTTTAATGGATGAATAATAAATATATTATAAATAATAAAGATAGAGAAAACCTAAAAAAAAAATCAAATTAATCATTAATCCTTTACAGACAGTTTACTGTAAAGATTCAAAAATGATACCAATATCCGTTAATATACCGGAAAAAAACTTTTCTCATTATTTTCATTCGTAAGTTAAGCTTACTTAAAATTTACCATATTAGCCAGTTTCCATCTTTAAAAATTCAAAAAGGTGTATCTCATTAACCGCTCCTGATTTTTTAGTCAACACCCCTTCATTGTCTTAGAAAAATCAGTTGCACAACATACCAATTTATTAAAAAAAATAATGTTTATAATTGTATCACCCAGCAGGTTAATAAGCATACAATTTGACGCAGCGAGATGTTTTATCAGCGAGCGCTACTTGTCGAATGGCGCCTGGAATTACGGCCAATCCACATGGCTGATTCAGTGCATCTTCTTTCTCATCAATACGAGAAACAAAAGTTCCATCTCTGTTAAATAGCTGAAGTCTGTTGTTGCTACTGACTAACACTCTATCATCTTGATCGCATGCGATACCACGGGGTGATTTAAATTCCCCATCCCCGGTCCCAGTTCTTCCGAAAGTGCGGATAAACTGACCGTCCGTAGTAAAAACTTGAACCCTGTTGTTCTCGTTGTCAGTGACATATAGTTCATCGTGCGAATTTATTGCTATAAAGCAAGGGTGCTTTAGTTGTTCGTCACCACTTCCTTCTGTACCAAACGCCGTAATAAATTGTCCCTCTGAACCAAGTTTCCTAACGCAGTTAGCCTCATAGTCAACGACGAAAGTATACCGATTGGAACAAACAATCCCGACCGGCCATTTGAGAGTTTTTGAACCGTCGTACGAATCCCACACTCTTCCATTAAAATCACTTACTTGAACGTGTTTCTTGACAACATCTGTGAAAATAATATCTGGTCCTTTAGAAGAAGACGGCCTGTTCCTTGACATTGTTGATCTGTTGGCCAAACAACGTACGCCCTTAGCAGACGATATTGGGATGGAATTTACGTATTCTCCATCCATAGTGAATACATGAAGACGAGACAGTCTGTTGGCAACGACGAAGTACTGCTTTCCTTTCATTGTATACACTTTCAGATCATATGGCTCACCAATTTGGAACTCCGAATGCGTGAACGTCAAAAACATCCGTGTTGGTGGCCGAACGTTCAACTTCAACGTTCCTCCTTGCATTGGCTGATCAAACATGTAAACATCTAACTCATGTGCTCCATGTTTTTCTGGATTTAATTTTATTGTGTAGGTTCCGTCGTTGTTGTCTATGACGTCTAATCCTTCAACATCTCCATTAGTGTCACTAAGTTCTGCAATTACATCGGCGCCACCATCAGCCACGTCAGAACCTTCTCGGTTACGTGATTGAAGCGTCAGGCATATATCATTTTCAGCTATAAGCGCAACTTTGTCAATATCTGTTATACTCGACATAAATGCAACGGCCGAAGTTGTACATACTTTGCCCATTGAACCATTTTCAATTTTTGCTAGACTATTGCTTTCGAATCGAAGCATGTGGTTCTCTTGAGGATGACAAACTGGTGGATCGGCTATCAGTTCCTCGATGGTGCTTGTAACCTGTTTCAATGAGGCTAGCTTTGAGCTAGAATCATCTGATATTCTCGACTTCGTAGCCACATCCCACGCCCGACTTACGTCTTTCTTTTTATTTTTCAGTTTCAAACGTTGATTTTCAAGTACTTCTCGTTTTACCTGAAATTTTGAAAAAATATCCTGATTACACTCCTCTTTTTTCGTTTCCAATTCTTTTGTTAGTTGAAGAATGTGTCGGTCGATTTCTGCTTCTGTCTCTGCTTTTTCGTTTTCTAATTTTCGAAGTACTTTATTTATATCTTGGACAGCTTCATCGACATTTCGTGCAAAGTCCGTACGTTTTCCCATTAATTCCACTAATTCTTCCTTGTACTCCTCGGTGACAACATCAATGTCAACATAATTGTGTGTTGGTTTTTTGTGCTGAAGCTTGACACAGTTTCGACAGATTGGTATGCCACAACTCCGACAAAAAAGATCAAGTTTTGACCCCGTATGCTCATCACAAAACCCTGGATGGAGAACATCCTGGTTGTCTTGTATCTTAAGACCGTCCATACTTCGTTACTTCTGAAAAATATCATAATGCATATTCATTAAACATATTGTGTATATACTTGAGAACTAGCAATAAAGTACCAATGCTAATTTGTATCCACGTCTATTTTGTTCCAACCAGTTCAAACGTTATAAAACACTAAATTAATTTAATAGAAATGGCAAATTAAGTTAATTTACATAAACAAGCATTAATTTGTCATAAAATGTCCATTTTCTGAAAAATAAAATTCTGCTATTTACACACTTATTATTATAACTTCGCTGGATTTAATAAATAAAATTCTGCACTGAGTTTTCACATTAAGTCCGGAAAGTTAAATTGGTTTAATGAAAGATAATGTGTTCAGTTGAATTGAAAACAACTTTCGTTTATCGATTCAGAGGTCATGGTTATTATTCACCCAAATAGTGATATGCTGTACTCATATATTGTACCACCAATATCGATAATTCTGCATTACCACCGCAGACTTATTGATCACAAGGAAGTGGCGTCATCATAATAGAGGTATTATGGTATGAGGTGTATTGATATCTTCAAGATTATCAAAATAGAAGAATAATTATTTCTGTGAAAATGGCTGACGCATTATTTATATAGGGCCTTATATAATTATAAACGAACTTCTAAAACAAATAGATTAAAATGTTAACAGTGCTCGAGTAGCTGTTGTAATAATCGTACCAAGCATAGCTCGTCAATGAAAGGTTCCTTTATTTCAGTTGTATGAAAAAAAGTGTCTCTGAAGGGATTCGAACCTGCAACCTCTCGCTATCAAGGCGGATATCATATCCATTAGATCACGGAGACCTGTAGAATATACGTGCAGATCTAACTGATTGAAACGCTTAAAGTAGAGCTGTGGTTAATCTAGAAAAGCGTGTAGGTCGCAGCTGCTAAATCATAGTAGTGAACAAGAGACATGACATAATTGAGAGC